GCTCTCACACCTTCCCCTCACCCTACGGCGCATTCCAGTCCCGCACACATCAAATTCGAAATAAAAAAAAAATTACAGAAAAAATAAAAAGAGAAAACAACCGACAATAAATGCGAGAGGAAGCAAGAATTTTGTGCGAAACAAACGTTGGAAAATTCAACATGACCGGCAACACCATAACCCCCCGATTGCCCACCCTATCCACAGCTAAATGCGGTGGGCAATCGCTTTGGCTTGAACACAATATGGCATCGGACATGGACACGAGCAAGCGCTGGGTGGAGTCTGAATAAATCCCAGGGATGCCAATGACTGCTGGGGCGGCGCTGTTGGCAGCATTGTTGACGTTTTGAAGCGTTTAGTGGTGCATCCACGAGCCAAGCAGCCACATATTTCCCAACATATTTCCATATAATGCCACACTCGTACGTTTCTTTGCCTTAATACTCTTAAGACAACTAGAAATGTATCGAGCATTTAAATTTTGATAATAACCTAACTTTTTTGGAACATAGACACATTTCTAATAATATGTATAATCGAAGCAACAAAACCTATTTATTGAGTATTAGCTCACGACTGCTTCTCAAATTAAAGCTTCAGACATCAAAGTCCCCAAAAACAGCAACTGCTTCGATTAACTATACAATTTCCATAAATTTCCAATACTTTTGTGGTATGAAAACATTGATATCAGTACGCGTTATATATTAATACTATTATCGATCAATTTACTAAGATTTATTCGTTTAATGCACGTATTTAAATTAAATCCGTTTAACGGTAGTTATTACCTATCGCGAATTAAACAATTGATTATGTTTCACTAACATATCTTTTGTTTTCCTTTGCTTAACATGAATTAAGTGCTTCCCAACAGAAAATGAATTCTATATCGATGTACAAGACGTTTTCGATAGAAGTGGATTACAAATCGATAAATATCTAGAGAATCGATCTATTGGCTGAAATAGCACTAACGGATCTTTTGTTTTGCCTTGCTTGAAATAAATGGAGTGCTTTTCCCAAAGGCATTTAATTCAGATAAAGGACGGACTTAAAGCTGTTATCGATCAATTTATCGAAAATGTACAAATTTATTTAAGCTTCAGTTACAGTTCATAAGTTTTCAGCAGCACAAATTCAACTATCGAGAGCCAATCAAATAAAAACTACAAACGCTCCGCAAGTCCCCAAGATATGTTCTGTATGCAGATTATCAACCCATTCGACTGTACGCGCACTTGTGTGTCGACAATTCTGTCCGCCAGGGGGCGTCTCGGTTCACATTCACAACAAACAACAAGCAGCAAACAGCACAAGGCACACGGCACACGGCGTCACAAGCTGTTTCGGTTAGTCTTTTCACTTTGGTTGTTGGCTGTGGGGCAAACGAAGTCATCAGTTGGCTACGCCCCCCCCCCCCCCTTCCTCCTGCTGCCCCGCTTCTGGTTGTCCCTTGCCATTGCCCGGCCCCCCCTCGCCATGGCATGTTTGGCAGTTCCCATCGCACGCCCCGTTGAGTTTGGGCAACTTTCAGTGTAGAAAATTTGCTTTGCTTTCGTTTTAATTTATTTTATTGCGAAATGCATTTTCGGTTTTTGTGTTTTGCGCTGATTTCTTGGCCCCGAACCCGAAAGTGTCGCGTTGACTTTCTGTCGGGGCCAAAATGAAAACAAATTTAATTTAAGTGTCAGTTACGCTTTTCACGAGGTTGCAAACTCGCAATCGCCAGAGAATGCCGCAGCCGCATGAAGGAAGTTTCTTTCTTTTTGTGCCCTTCCAAAAGGGTAACATAAATGTGCCACGAAGTGTGCCCTTATATACTCTCGATCAATCAGATATATGTGTTCTTGATGGGTTTCAACAGCCGGGTTTTTATAGCCATACTTACCTCCTCGTCTGTCCAACTAGTCTATAATTGGATCAATATTTTGCAAGGAAATAATGTTTGAAAAACTGCTTTCGCAACAATACTCCTCACATATTTGTCAGCACGTAAGCCCTGTGTGCTCTAGGGTATTTAATCTCTGTTCTTGTTTGTTTTTGTTTTTTTTTTTATTTTTTTCACTCAACACTGGACTTGGGCAAAAGTCAGCTGTCGTTAATGTTGCTCTTGTTTCAAATTTAGTTGGTTATCATATTGTGGTGGCCAATACGACACGCAACACCATTATTTGCCACATACTGACAGCCGGCATTTCCGTCCTGTCTCTGTCTCTGTAGCATGGCCCTGTGGCATAGCCCATTCCTAGCCCAATTTCTAGTGCATATGGTCGAGTCGTTTGGTCGTTGGGTCGCCCCGTTGTCCTTCAAGTGTTACTTGAAACAACTTGAACTAAACGGCCAAAAGCCATGCACTTGCACTCCATAGTGCGACCCCTGCACATTTCTACATCTGCTGCCACTTCACCTGCAGCTCAAACTCAGACTCGAACCCAAAAACTCAAGCTCTCGCACACAGTTCGCTCTTCATTTTAACCAGCTTTGGCTTTGGCTGACAAACTTTTGCCAATGCGAATACGTGTCGAAAGACTTTTAAGCGCACAAGGACACTTCAAACAGCGCACACGGTTACGACCTGCCCCTCGCTCCCTCTGTTGCTGTAACTGCCCCTGTAAGTGCCCCTGTTGCTGGCACTGCCCCTAGCTGAAAAAGAAACTCTCTGCCCATGGCCTTAAAGCTGCATTACGTGTCCTCCAATCGCAAGCGGTGACTTTAATGAGCTTGCAACACGGCTATATTGCCACCGCCAGCAGATAACAAACACGCAGCTGCTTCTGTAACTGCAACTGCAACTGCCACAGTCCGGCAAATTAGCCCAATAAAAACTCATTAAAAAGGGGCACAGCCCATTAAAAGATAACCAGGCGAATTTGTAATTGTAAATGATCGCTGATCTTTTACCAACTTCCCAACACACACAGACGCACCTGCTGTAATTGGGAGAGAGTTTTCAGCACTGCCCTTAAAATTAATTGAAAAACTTTTGCTTACTTTGATTTTCTTTTCAGAGAAATAAATGAACTTAGCCCAGCAAACTGATCATTGAAAGATCATTGATACTGTGGCTAAAAGCCTAGTAAAACTGTTCGCTGGCTCAAATCTTTGCCCGGCCCCAAGACTTGTCTCGCTACAAAGATTTTCAAAATTCAACAGGAAAAAATCGTCTGAATAAACTAACTTATTAAAGAATCGTTATCTAGCTTTTAGGTTTAGCCTAGGCAGTTCTTATCCAGCTAAGGCAGCAAGGTTTATTCATGGTTCGAACCAATTCGGTTCCAAAAACATATAGCTAGGCTTTTATCATAGGATAAGCATCTTAAATGATCTTGCTAAATATCATTTGTTGATTCATGCTAGATTTGCAAAGTTTTTTAATGCAACAATTTGTTGATCACCCAACAAGATCATAATCTAAGTGTAGAGAGCAGTTCGCGTAAATTATCTCATTTGAATTATAGAAATTAAATTAGCACGTCGATGGCGATAGCCAGAATCCTAGATTCCAGATCCCAAGTGATCGTGCTCTATATATTTTTTTCCGGCTGCCTCCATCAATTGTGATCCCAAGTGATTGTGAATAGATAAACTTCTATATTTTTCTTAGATCTATTAATGATCACTTGGGATCACTTATCTGTGCAAGCCGTTTGCTGACTGACTCGATTAATTGCGATCCCAAATGATCATGATCATAAACGACTATATGATTTCTTTCTGCATGCATGATCACTTGGGATCACTTGTCTATTCATTTTTTTTTCTGGCTGTCTCTATCAATTGTGATCCCAAGTGATCATCAAAAGATCAGCCGCTATAATTTTGTTTATCTATTCATGATCACTTGGGATCACTTATCAATCTCTCCATTTCACTCCTAATCGGCTCTATATATTTGCTTTTTATCAACGCTAAACCTTTGAAATTGCAACTGGTAGATCAGCAAAGATCATGATCTCATTCTGGATTGGACTACGAGTAGCTCATGAATAGAAGAGCATTGAGGAAACTGGCAAACTGTTGACAATGCACACTGATTCGAAGTGATCATGTTATATTTAAAGTTGCAATTAGTAGTCTCCTTATCTGAACATGACATCGATTGATCAAAATTCTAGATCATGATCTCACTGTGAAGGGTGTAGCCTACAAACTGATCTCATTCGCGTGCTGCAATGCAATTCGATGTGGCAATTAATTGGGCCCAGTCGGGGGCCTAATGTGGGGCTGATGTCAGTTCCACTGTTGTTGTGGCTGTTGTTGTTGTTGATCGATCTTTTAAATGACGTATACGCAACGTATTACCTGCCTATAAATGACGTCAACGGCTTGGAACTTGCAGCCGACGCGTGCGAATGTCGCGTCATTGCATGTGTCATCGATTATGTGTTTGCCAGTGTGTGTGTGTGTGTGTGTGTGTGTGTGTGGAGCAATCGATTACATCACGATCCCAGCTGCATCTGGCTGTGTGTATCTGTGAGATACATTTTTTGGCGGCAGCTGTCTGTGACTAATAGAATCAAATGTGCGCCGAATGTGGGTCAGGCATGAATTTGCATTTGCCTAGCGAGGCGCTGCGACGCGACGCGAGGCGAGGCTTCTATTTTTGGCCAGTCGGCAGATACAAAAATATATAAAACATTTTTCGGTCATAAAATCAGCGACAACATCGTGAATTAATCATATAGCTCGAGTGCCGTCGAGTGCCAGGCAAGGCGAAATAAGCCACAGACGAAGTTGGCCCCAAAAATCAATTGACATGATTTCTATAATAATACAAGAAACAGCAACAGCGACTCGTTGGGGCTGCTTGATATTATTGGGGCGTGGTACGAATGTTGGCCACCCAAATACGCAAAACAATCGCGAGGCATCGATCAAACAGCTGCCGCCTTTGGCAGTTGCCCGGGCAACTGTCGAGGACAACTAACCTAAGGCAAGTTGAAAGTCGAAGCGTTGGCCAGAAATCAGTTCAGCCAAAGGCAGCCAGGCGCTAGGACGACAACAGGAACAGGAATACTTGCATAGGAAATAGTAAATAGACACAACAACAACAATCAGTTCAGTTCAACAATTGACAATTAGCGAGATCCTGTGAGAGATCCTGGCAAGATGTGCGACTGTGGCTGCTACTCGTACTGCCTGCACGACGCATCCTGCTATTCGCACAGCCATTACCATACCCATTCGCACTCGCATCATTGCTGCGCTGGATACAAGTATCTCAAGTGTCTGTGTCGCTATTATCGGCATGTGCACTGCACCTGCTCCTGTTGGCGCCGAAAATGTTACCTGCTTTAAGCGCACAAATGTCAGACAGACGACAGTTTGACAGGCGCCGAGGATGCAGGCCGTCTGGATGGAGGATGGAGGATGTAGGATGGAGGCGACAGCACCATTAAAAATCACAACTCAAACAATGCAAATCAGCAAAAGCAAATGATAAAGTCCTTTAAGCAGTTGCATAACACTTGGCTGCATCGTCGAAGGTGAAAGAACAGGTGAAGCAGGTGGCACGTGGCAGGTGAAGCAGGTGGGAAACAGTTGGAGCTGCCAGCGTAGCTAATGGATGATTGGGGTGCGATTGCGAGGATAGCAACTAGCGTGCATACAGGTCGTATGTGCAACGTTTTTAGTTGTCTGGGTGAGTGTGAGTGTGACTGAGAGAGAGCGAGAGAGAGAGAGAGAGAGAGAGAGAAAGGACGAGCGAGCGAGCGATGCGGCCAACTTGTTATGGACCGACTGCATTTGGTGCAGAATCTCTCGCAATAACTAAAACGAACGGATTCCATTTAACTAACTCACCATGTACAATCCTACATAATTAACTAGTTAATATAGATGAGCATTCCTTAACTCACACCCACACACACACTCACAACTGGCACACGTAAGTTAAGTGCATAAGTTTTACTTGAATTGTCTCAAGCACACGATATAACTATATATATGTATGTTCGTTGCCTATAAATGTTAGTTATAGTTATCGATTCATCATCATGTTGATGACAATTTGCCATATTTGTAACGATTAAAACAACAATAAATAAAGTTTTATTCCAACACCCAAAAGAAGGTTTTATAGTTTGTATAAATGTTGAATGATTAGTTCACAGCCAAGTTTCCATGCTAGTTATCGAAATGTTTTCCAAAGCAATTACCTAAACAGATTTTGTATTGGAATACCCTTAATCTAAAAAAATTTTTTTGATTTGGGCAATACTCAAAATATTTCTCAAAAAAAAAACACAAAATTATGGCTCATCAAATCTGACCTAGAAAAACTTTTATTTTTTAACGGTTTACTTTACTTAACTAAATTATAATTATTTGTATAGTACATAAAACAAGCTTAAAATTAAATTTACTTTCAGCTCGTTAATTAGAAATTTTCCAGAGCTCTTAAAGAATTCGCTTAGTTAGACAATTCAAGCACAGCACAAACATAATTAGGTCTTCCCGAAAAGCAACCCAGACTTTATAGCTTATATGCTTAACCAGTTTATGCGGGTAACAATTTCAAGTAGCTCCATGTTGGTTGGGGGAGGGGTTTGGCGTATAATTTGCCATATGATAAATTCTTATGACTAAGCAAATTACAGCTGTTCAAATCCGACACTTAATTTGGCCAGGAGTTACGTATGTAATGAGCCCGGCCATAAGCATAATTCGTAATCATTGGGTCCTTGGATGCTTGCCTGACTTTGCAGCTGCCTCCCAAACACTGGAAGAAGTAGAAGAGGAAGAAGAACAAGAACAGCTTCTTGTCAACATTGCCCAATTGGCCATATGCAAATGGCAGGGCAAAGTCGCACTCGAAGTGCTGCCAAAAGCCCGGACAGCTGCCAAATTTCCAAATTCCATTTGTGGACAATGGGCGGGGGGTTGAGTTCCTTGGGAGGTTGAGGGGTTTGGGGGGTTTGTTTGAAAAGTCAAAATGAAAATGTTGTCATTTTGTGCATTGAATTTACGTTTATTTGATGGCTTCTGGGCTATTCGAGTCGCTGTGTCGGCGACAATGATTATCCGGCCTTAACGACTGCCATTTCGACAGGCACGACTCCCCTCCCCACCCCATCCCTGTCATACCCTGCGGGTGTGCTGGCTGGCATTATAGGTGTTCCGGCCGACAAACAAGGTGATTATGACACGAGTTTTCCCTCGGACGCGTTAATGGACTCCAAATATGCTGTGGCATCCCACCACAACAAAAAAAAAATACAAGGGAAAAAAAGGAATTCCAAAAAAAAAATAAAAATATGTATAAATTGGAGAGGACAACGCGCGTATTTATTTAAATTTTGTATTGCAGGCGGGGGGTCACAGGACGTGACCGGGACTCGAGCGGGGCTCATGAATATCAGATGGAGCAGAGAGATGTAGCTGGAAATCAGCTTTGATATTGGTTTTTGATTATTCTCGCGGTGCGATGTGAGTGGCAGTGGGCGTGGCAGGCATTGCTGGTGTACATTATCCTGTGACATTTTAATTAAACATTTCTTTCTTGTTGTTGTTGTTGCTGTTGCTGTTGTTGTAAATAAATAAATTCTGTTTGCGTGTGGCGTGCAGTCTGCATGATTTCCGGTCTGGCTGCGCTGCCCTTGAGAGCAGCCCAACCACACCTTCCACTACCCCCTTTCAACCATGCCTCCCCTTTCAGCACCCATCTCGCCCTTAAGCTAAACGCAACGTCATAAAATGTTTACAGCTGACTAAATTTTCATTGCGCATGCAAATCGCTCGCATAGCTGGCGGCAACTGTTGCCGCTGCAGTTGCAACATTGTTGCTGCATAATTGTCTTCTGGCAGTCCACTAAAATCGGCGGCCTGTTCCCTCCCAACTCCGACCCCAGCAACAATGGTGAAAAAATTATGAATTGTTTTCCTATATATTGTTGCATGCCCCGAACCCATTGAAAATGTGCAAAGGGTGGTATATTCGCTTTTTGAATAGGTATGTAACAGGCTGTAGGAGGCTTCATCGAGACCTTAGGTTATAGGCATGCTCGATCTGGATAAACTTCTGATTCGATCACGCTTTAAATTGTATTAGTATATATTCATTTAAATATTGATAACTTGCCAGCCTTCCTAAAAATCAATAGATATCGATATTGACATTAAGTTTTATCTAGGTTGATCATATCTGGAACTGCACAGTTGGTGGGCATATTGTCGAATAGTATACACAGTTATAGAATTTTAATCCTTTGGGATAACTCAACCCATTTTCTAAGTAAAGTCCTAAGCTTTCCTATTTAGGCACATCTGGCCGCCTTGAACATTTAATCAAGATCGGACTATGATGTCCGTGGTTAAATTGAATGCATTTCTCACAGCATAAGTTTCCATGTAAAGGGCAACCCCTAGTCAGCTCTTCCCGGCTAGATTTTTCAGACTAGTTTTTTATTTGCCAGTGTGCCCGAATTGTGTGCAGTGAATGGGAGGCGTGTCAGAGGCTAGCGGTCGCATATCAACTGGAGGTGCAACCGCCTGTGTGGTCCGAGGACCAGTTTATCGATAAAAAAGAAATAAATAAAATAAAGAAAAGAAACGAAAAACTGTGGCATAATTCACAAACAAAAATTGGCGAACAAAAAATTTGGTAAAAGTTTGAATGTTTTATGTGACAGGAGAAAGAGACTTGTCGATGGGCGGGGGAGAGGGGGGCAGTGGGCGGCCACTTTGGTAAATCATAATTTATGATCGAAACTAAGCCGAGAGCTGAGTCTGTGTCTGAGCAGAGTTCATAGTTGAGCTGCCGCAAATACTTGAAAATATTTAAGGCCTAGACTTTTTTATGCTCGTTCGCAGAGTGGAAAGATTATATTGGATTTGTACAAAGCCTGAGAATAAAGACTCACGTGAGCTCCTCTAAATGTTAGAATAAGAATCTATAGCTAAGAATCTATATATTTAAGCGGATAACCTGTAATGTAATGCCAAAGAATATTAGGTAGGCGGTTGCATCAGCAAGATTTCGACTTGTTATTCCCTTGTAGAGGTTATAATAACTTTGAAATGTTTAACGTTTAGAAAGCGACATCTCTGACCCCATAAAGTATATAGTATGTTCCAGAACAACATCAACAGCCGGGCTTATATAGCCATGTCTATTGGTCTGTTTCTTTGCGAACAAGTCTCTCAGTCATGATCCTTAAACTTTGCATCCGTCTTTCTGTTGCAGGCAGTAAATACATATATCAGAATTTACCAGATCGGACCACTATATCATATAGTTGTTATAGGAACTACCTGTCCCAAATTAGGTTTTTGTATCCAAAAACTTCTTGTTTATCATAATATCTTTACCAAACCCGGCACTCAGTGTCTAACCTAAGTATATATGAGCCAAATCTTATCAATATCTGACTACTATATATTTATATTATATACCATTATGGGAAGAATCTGTTAAACAGCGAGTGTTTTAAGGCTAAATCGTCCGTTTTTCAAGATACCTTTATCAAGCTCAGCATTTGCGAGCTCCAATATGCTCGCATATCTGTAACCATGTAAAGCAAATGTCTAGAAGGGTACTTAAACTTCGGTGTGCCGAACCCTACTGTAATCGTGTACTTTCTCGTCTTTCTTTATATATGTAATTAAAGAATTTCTTCTCACAAGTGCGCTAATTTTCAATTTGAGTTCCGTACAAGAGTTATTTATTAAAAACTTCTGAAAACTCTCAATTAGCATTATCTCAAATCCTTAAGTACTTTGCCCGCTGGCAATTATCATAAACAACATTTGCTTAAAAGCTGTTATAAGGAAATCCCCCCCCCAAAAAATATGAAGAAGAAAAATGAAAGAAAATGACAAAAATGAAAAAAAACCCTTTCAAAAGGAAGCCGAATCCAGTGGAGCCCAACACAAATCAAATTAGCGCAGCCTGCGAACTTGTGGTTACATTTAAGAACAGGGACTGATTTGCTGACAGTCCGTCTGACAGTCTGACTGAATGACTGTCCGTCTCTCTGTCTGTCTGTCAGTCTGTCTGACGGTCTGTTCAATGTTTGTGTCAGTTAGTTCACACTGTTTGGCTGATCTATTAACAGCCGCTTGGCATGCACAGAAAACAGATATTGTGTGGCCCATCAGGCGGATTGCACTCGATGCCCCTCCCGCACCCTCTGCGTCTCCCTCGCCCCTTACCATGTCTCTGTCGCGGCCAGCGTTCATTATGTCTGCCCCATGCAACAATGTTGCAGTTGAGAAATGCTCAAGAGGCGGAGGAACAAACAACTTAAACGCTTAACTTGAAGTTGAAGTTTTTATTTATTTTAAGTCTGCGCCCCGCTTCCTGCCCAACATATTGTAATGACAAGACGGGACGAGGGGGAGCGGGACGAGACGGGAGGAGACGAGCCAAGCCGCCGACTTAATGATGCTCTTAACGAGCCTCTCACTCGCACTCGCTGTGCGGCTCCACAAATACGTGTGTTCATGTGTATGTTGCCTGTCTATTTGCAACAGTTGGCAGCAGCCGCAAATTGCAAACAGAAAGTAGCTGAATAATCGCCGCGCCATTAACTAAGAAATTACAGTCAGGCAAGGACTATTGTATTGCCCTCTATCTCCCTCCCTCTCTCTCTCTCTCTCTCTCTCTCTCTCTCTCTCTGTGTGTTTTCTACTCCGTCTGAAACTCCAAGAATTCACACTATGAATATGTCTGAAAAGATTATCAAGTGCTCTTATTAGAGTAAAAACGATGGAATGTAAAAGAGAAGAAGAGGGAGAGGGAGAGTGAGAGGGAGGCTGCGCAGCTTATGCTGCAGCTGTGCTTCTTCTTCCATTAGCCACACACTATCCAATAGTGCTGCCTTGAATAACTTCAGTGTTTACAGTCCGATTCTTATGAAATTTTCAGGGATTTTATAAGGCACCTTAAAGCGTGTAAATACCTAAGCCCAAGACTAGACTCAATATATAATTATTATTACAATTTTAGTGGAAACGTTGGATAATATTCTGAATATGTTTCGAAAGCCTACACTTATTTAGGGTCTCAAGCTAG